ATTAGTCGAACTATTACGCTTGAATTTATCTCGATTAACACCCCTACCCTCATGAAATGGTTGTCTCATACATTGTAGGGTAATCACTGTTTTTTTTTGGTGACTTTAGACCTAGGGCTAGGCATTAGTGGTGTTGTGTCGGGGAAATCGTATATTAGTCAATTTTTTATCGATTCTAAGTATGTCAATCAATCTATTAATGGTTTAAAACAGTTAACACCTAATTAATATTGTTAACTTCACACCAATTTTATGCCAGGTTCGTGAATGATATTAATTCGTATCAATTCTACCTAGATCAAAATGATGAGTTTTATCCATCAAAAAAGAATAGGGAGCACAGCTCAATTTACTAGGTCAATTGGTGGAGAAAAAAATAGAGTCATGTCCCAGGGAAATGTGCCCTCAGATTCATACAATGCATCGCATATGGAGAGAGGAGAGGTTTTCTCAGCTTATTTTATCTTAAAAATTTGTTGATTGGGTGAAATGGATTGGGAATGCAGAATTAATCATGAAGTGATAGGATTCTGATTCCTTTCTGGGAGTCAGTAGTTGGACCACTTTGAAGACTGTCCTTTCCTGTGAGCCAATGTAATATGAGGTGTTTGTGTGTGTGTGTGTGTGTTTTCCTCTCGCACAGCAGAAACTAGAAGGTCACGTTAAATGAGTTCTCCGCGCTTGCTATATATACTATAAATAGAGGGCTAATAATTGAGTCGAGTTATTCGACTTAGCTTAGATAACAATTGATTCAAGTTTGACTCGTATTTTAAAATAAATGAGCATAACTTGAACAATACATAGATGGTATAGTGTTAAGCCCAAACAAGAATCAGAATCTGACAATTATCCAAAAGTTAAAGCACTTTATCACCTAACATGCACTAAGGCACATGACATCTTCAAATAAAAATGCATGAACAAGGAAATTGCACATGAGTGAAATCCATTAACATGCCTTTGGGTTAGATCTTGCTCGTTTTATCACATGAATTCTCATTAACATTTGTATTTGTCTTCTTTTTTTTTTGTTGGGGTGGGAATGGGGGGATGAATCAACCTTGACCCTTAGGCTTAATCTTAGTACTAATATAGCATAGGCTTAAAACATTCTCTTAACTTAACACCAATGATAATACTAACTTAGGGCCTATAATCTCTAGCCCTATAGTACTTATCTGGCTGTGTCTTTTTTTATGATCCATCTAGTCAATATGATTCAATGGGTTGAAGTGATTATTTTGAAACTCACCCAAACTAGGTATCAGCAAGCAATTGGCAGGCACCAATGTTCTTTTCAATTTTAAAATTAGATTAATATTATTTGAATTTTATTTTATTGATTAAATTTAATATTGCGATTTGAATTCGATATTGAACGAGTTCACTATCTTTTTTATATTGATAGGTAAATAAGTACTTTGACTATAATAAATTGACTCAATTAAGATCATTGTTGCAACCCAATACCAGGATTGAATCATTGAACTCACACTTCTCTTTTCCCAATACTTTATGGGGGAACACTATCCTGTGCATGATAATAACTATACGTTTATGATGAAAGTGAGAGGAAAACTGTAAATCTGCCACTTCTGTGCAAGAAAGTTGTAGCGACACACTCAAAACTTAAGTTTGCTTAGAATGAAAGCAAAGCAATTCAATTTTTCAGAGGGTCACAAGGTTCTCTCTCCGTTCTTAAATATATGTCGTTTTACATAATTTTTTTTTGTTTCATAATATCTGTCATTTAATGAAATCAAATCATAATTAATATTTTTTCTTCCAAATTTACTCTTAATTTTTCAATACATTAGATGAGGTGGAGGTTAAGTGTCTTTCATATTCATTTCCTTCCCAATACATATTGAATAAATGTATTTTAGTCTTATGTAATTATTTTTTACTCATATTATAACTATTTAATAATTTTCTTAATTCTTGTAAAAAAATTTTAAACGACAGATATTTAAGAACGGAGAAAGTATTGTTACGACGGTCCATTCTGCTGAGAGAGAGGGTTTGGCTTTGGCATATATATTATATATCGGGGTCCTAGAACTGCGATTAGGGTAACTTTCATGGCCCAAAGAGGACAAAGTGAAAGTGATGGTAAAAGTGATGCTTAACGGCCTTTTAGGTTTTTTTTTTTTAAATATTTATTTCAATAAATGAAGGGTTTTGGTTCCCACTTTGCTTGGGAAGCGTAGCCAGCTGCCAAAAGCAATGGGCTTCTCATCGATGCATGCTCACTTCACATGGCCCCCTCTCCCTCTCTCTCCTCTCATCCATGCATGCTCGCTTCACGTGGCCTCTCTCTCTCTCTCAAGTCTCAAACAAAGAAAAGGAACAAATGCTAAAATAATTGTGAATGCAATGATATATTTACAACCCAGTTGCAATATTTAAGTTCTCTATGAAGTATATAATTGTCACGTTCAAATGTCAATGCACTTTGCAGAGCAGTATGCATTATACAAAAATACAATAACGATCGACTCGAGTTTTGACTGCTAATTTTTAACTATTTGCTGAGGTTTACATGACATCATTGTGGTTTATGTATTCATTAAACTAGGTTGTTGTCAGTGGGGACTTTAGTTACTTAGTATATTAAACAAAATACATTACCTAGTCTTAACCTTAAAAGCCGGCCTAGGTTTTCATTCCTTTTTGTCCTTTTATTTTTTTTCATTAACCCAATGCACTGCATACCTTTTTTGGGGTGTGCATGCTTTTTTTTTTTTTGTTACCATTCAATGTTAAATAAACAAGTGAATAAGGTGATCTTATTTTTTTTTACGTGCAGGTGTAGTTATTTGAATGATTGGAGTCCTCTTTTTCTATTTGGTTTATTATTATTAGACGATTGTACTAAATGATAATACTGAATTTGTAACTATTACACCCAATATTTATTTGAAATCTAGAAGGTCATTATTTAGGACATGTTTGGTATGTGGGTTTGGAGGAGTTTTGGATCCTAGGTTAGGGATTAAACTATCTTAAACCCATGTTTGACAACTATGCATTTAATCCAGGGTTTGAAATCTGGTCCGGTCATGAAACCCACATACTTGGGTTTTATGAAACTCAAGGAGGGTGGGTTTCATATATAACATGCAAATAACATTTATACTCTCATATATTCTATATACTCTATATAAACAAATTAGTTAAGAGGCATAATAGTTATTTATATATAAATATATTATCATAATAGTCATATATTCTTACGCATATCAAACATAGGTATGAACAACATTGAATGTTGAATCTTATCTTTGAATTTCATCTTTGGATCAAACCCAGATTTAAACAAGTTAATCTAAATCCCTCCCAAAAATCATACCAAATAGGCCATTAATGTCTTGTAAAGACTCCGCAAAAACCTCCAATTCACAGGATGGCCCAGAAGTCCAGTGGCCCATAGGTAATGGTTTTACGTGCCAGGCCATCCAAAGATTTCACGAATGACCTTTTAGCCCGAGGGGTCAGGACATGGGCTAAGTTTTGGTCTACCCAATCCAACTGGTTGGACCAGTATTGACAGGGAAGGCTGATTTTCTCATGCCAAATGTACTTCATGGTCAGTCCACGGGTATGTTGACCCGATTTGATGCTGACCCAAATGTCCAGTGTGATTCCGACAAAACCCTCTTCTGTAGTACAAAACCTAATCTTTGGAATTGTGTGATGATATTTCACCACGTTCTATAAAACAATTGCTCATCTACTCTGCTATGATCACCCCAGTACACAAAAACAACAGCTAAATTCACAATAATAAACTAGTTACTACTCCAAAGTTCAGTACACTGAAGTCATTTTCCTTCTCAAAGGCACCAGCGTATGCCTCTTTTGAGTACAAATGAATTCAATTCCAAAGATCAAACTTGCACCCCTCCCTCCCACATTGGTTCCCTCTACATAGTCATCCAAGCCATCTGAACTCACCCCGATTTTCGACACAATCATTGGAAATTATTCAAAGCTGATCCCCATCACCAGACAGTGCATAGGCCTGCTCTCCGTGTACAGCGGCGTTCCCTTATGTGAGCTTAACTGTACTAGTCACCACGCCCATGCCAATGTCCGCCTCGCCTCTTTCTATTCCATGGCCATGGATGGACTTGTTAGCCCCATGGTTCACTTGGCCATGGCTTTGACCATGTGGTGGTCTATGCGTAGTACAAGAACATAACGGTTAAGGCCATGGCCCTTTTTTGAGCCACTTGGTCCACAAATGCAAGCTATCCGGAAAAAATTATGGCCCACTTATACTGGTCCGATAGACAGCCCAATAAACCATTAAGACTATGCCGATAGATAGTCCATGGGCCGATGGCATTATGGATAGCGCATGGACCGATGGCATGACCCACAGCCAAGGTAGTGGTTGAATATATTTGTCAATTTACTGCAGTTGCAGGGTACTTCAGGAAATCAAATACCCGGAGGTTGTGACCAATAGACCAAATAATCAAGATTCCAAATAACATCACAGCATACTTGATCTTTTTTTTATGTGTTTTAATGTTATTTTGGCCTCAATAAACACTCCAAATATCCGTTCCGTTACCATCAACCACAAGATTTTTCGAATGGAGCCAACCAGTCAACACCACGTTGCCTTTTCTCCAGACACCCAAAAAATAGCAAAACAAAATACCTCTGGTGCTCCTTCCCCCCTTCCTCTCTCTCTCTCCCCCCCCCGGGGGGCCACTCTCAAGTATGTGTTTGTTCCGTTTGTTGAGTAACTTCAGAGTTATTATGCCAATTCGGTAGATAGGTGAAGCCCCTTCTCTTGCCTTCTCGGCTTTTTACAAACCCACATGCACTTACTGTGCATTATCCTCACGGAAGAACAAGAAGTAGGTTTTACAAGCAAACACTGCTAGATTCTGGTTGTGGGTTTTGCTTATAAGCTCCAAATCAGTGAATTTAGGTTAGAATTTGTATTTTACATTTGTGGGTTTTTGTTATCTGATAACTTCATGGCTTCTTCAATGCTCAATGGTGCTGAAAATCTGACACTCATTAGAGGAATTACCCCACATGGGTTAGGTTCTATTAAATCAGATTTGCATGGAAAGCAGTTTCCCAGGTTGAATTTGGTCTCTTGTGGTCAAAATTTGAACGCTAGAACTCAAGCACCAAGGTGCAGTCTCTCAGCATCTGGGCCAGCTTCACAACTCAGATTTATCCAGCACAAAAAGGAGGCATTTTGGTTCTACAGGTTCCTATCAATTGTGTATGACCATGTTATAAACCCTGGTCATTGGACTGAGGATATGAGAGATGAGGCACTTGAGCCAGCTGACCTAAGTGATAGGAAAATGTTAGTGGTTGATGTTGGTGGAGGGACAGGGTTCACCACTTTGGGCATAGTCAAACATGTTGATGCCAAGAATGTCACCATTCTTGACCAGTCCCCTCATCAGCTTGCCAAGGCAAAGCAAAAAGAGCCATTAAAGGAATGTAAGATAATTGAGGGTGATGCGGAGGATCTTCCTTTCAGAACTGATTACGCAGATAGATACATATCTGCCGGAAGGTATATTGCTCATTTGTTTTTTTTTTTTTCTGCTTTCATTTTCTTTATATATCAACATTCCTCAATATAATTTTATTATTCTGATTGTTGTTTTTTATGGTCTGATGGTCAAACTTTTTACAAATTTTTGCTGGATACTTTTGTGGGATATGAATTTATATCCTTATCTTTAGCTACATTTTATTTATACTGATTTTGTTTAAGTGTACTTTTATGTTTGTGGGCAAAGACTAATGGGACTGTAGTGGGGTTAATTGACCCCTGCTGAAATTCGAAAAAAGGGTTCTATTCAACACCTATTGAAATTAACAGGTTCTTGTAATAGTTTATGCCTCTTGAATGTATTCTGGATATGCAACGAAAGTATAATTCTCCTTTATGTTGGGTTCTTACCTTCACCCACTTATCCATCCCAATACTAAAACCTTGTGTTAAATTTTTAGAGAAAGGAAAATCCCTCAATGTATGAAAATGAACCTTTTGGAGAAGGATTATTAATCAATGTGAGTTTTCTTCATCTTCAACTTGGAAAGCTTTATGGGAATTCTGTCTTTTTTTGTTTCCATATCGATTGATATGGGGGATAACAAAATAAAGTTTTCTGGATTATTGCTTAGTATCAGTTTAAAATAATTTATTAGTTGTTGACTGACTCCATTCTATAATTATTGTGGCACTGCTTTTGTGCATGTATAATCACTCAGTGGCTTGATTAAGATTCCTTTGGGGTTAAATCAGGACAGAACTTCATGCCAGTTTCATGGCATATGTGAAGTAACTTTTTGATGCACCGTTGAATATGTGAGGATCAGGTATCGTAATAAAGATTTTTTAGCATTTTTATGAATTCCTCATTCAAAATCTAGTGCATACAAGACAGCATATAGAAGCAACTTTGGGATTTCTTGCATATTTGTTTGAATGGGTTATAGAAATACACACTGTGATTTACTACCAATTGAAGACCTAAAAAGACCTTTGTTGTTTGTGTATCTCATGGGAATTATATGGCTATATCTTCTCAGTATCGAGTACTGGCCAGACCCGCAACGTGGCATCAAGGAAGCATACAGGGTTTTGAAGCTAGGAGGAAAGGCATGCGTAATTGGTCCTGTGTACCCGACATTTTGGTTGTCTCAGTTTTTCGCAGATGTGTGGATGCTCTTCCCAAAGGAGGAAGAATACATTGAGTGGTTTGAAAAGGCTGGATTTAAGGATATCAAACTAAAGAGGATTGGCCCAAAATGGTATCGTGGAGTTCGTCGACATGGGCTAATCATGGGATGTTCTGTAACTGGAGTGAAGCCTGCATCCGGGGATTCTCCTTTGCAGGTAATCATCTCATGTTTGTTCCATAACTCACCCAACAGAATGCACAGTGTTATACACCTTTGTGCAAGTGCAAGTCACTTTTTTGTGTTTTGCTCTTCGGGTCAACTTATCTTCATTACTGTTCCATTTAATCAACATGAAGACATTCTATTTTTCACTCCATTGGGTGACACTGCTTAGATATACACAGACATACACAAAAATTTCAGTGGTATATCTGATAACATAACAATGGCTCTGCACTTACAAATGAACTTCTATAATGTTGATGGCTTGAGTTGGGCTCTAAGTGTTATTGTTCAGCTATTCTATACATTGAAATGGACTTTATTATGAGGTTGCATCTGCTTTTGTAAGTTAATGAGTTTTTATGTCCTGGCACTGGTCTGGTTCCTGCATATTGGAGAAAAAACCTTAGGAAAAAAATAATGGAATTGGACTTGAGAATCAATTTTGAAGCCAATCAGGCTTCCTGTTGTGGGAGAATTCAGTTTAACTGTGAAATGTGTTGTTTGCAATTGGAGCTCTATTCCCACATCACTGCCACACTATAGCACTGGCATGGCTGCTCCCACTGCCATCAATACTGTAATGCTAGCAAAATTTACATTCGGGACTAAAATATTGTACTTCAAATAATTTCAAGGTTGTAAATTTGTTGGCGATCTAAAGAATTGAACCCCTATAGAAAAATATGCCCTTTTTATTTAGGTCTGAAAAGCTGCCTAGGATTTATTTAGTGGTCAGGAATCAGAACTTTGTTGATTTGAGCTGCAGCCTATATGCTACAAAAACCCAGGCAACATAATCTCTGAATCATCTAGCATTATTGTTTATGTTTCAATCCTTTTTATGGTTTAATGCGAGGGTATTCCTGCATGTGGCTGTGGTATTTGGGGGAAAATGTTGGCTGTCCGCAATGTTATTGTCTGTATCAGCATTACAAACATAATATTAGTTTTATTTTTCATATTATTGGATTTACATTGTTTATTTTTACTGCAGCTTGGTCCAAAGGCAGAAGATGTTACAAAACCTGTAAATCCATTTGTGTTCTTTCTACGCTTCATTCTGGGTGCCATGGCAGCAACATACTTTGTTCTGATTCCAATTTACATGTGGCTCAAAGATCGGATAGTTCCCAAGGGAAGACCAATATGAGAGAGAGAGAGAGAGAGAGAGAGAGAGAGCAGATACTTCCGGTTTGTATGAATCTGTTTTCTGTTAGAAACTTGACAATTTTCTGTGTTGCCTGTTTTAATTCTCTAGCTTCCGCATTCTATTCAGGTATCTGATCAACTTTACTATCAAGATCTAAGTCCACTGTTACGTGCTTTAGACAGATAATAACACCACTGAGTTTTACTAAAATGTTTTCATGGGGAGTTAGCCGCACCCACAAATGACTTGTCCACCATCGCCTTGCAATCTGATCCCCTCCACTTTCTTTAAAACAGGTATGGATTCCGCTTTGATTCTCTAAAGCAGGGAATGACTACTTGATTAGTGGAATAGCGCTCAATTAGCCTGTCTAATCTTTCCTTTCTTAAGTAGACTTGATTGACTACACTCAAACTCTCGACTATGCAACATGGCCAATAACCGTGAAAATAAACGAAGACACATCACATCAGGTCATTTTTATCCCGAAATAATGAATTGAGTTCGTATAGGCATTTTGGACGCTGCTATCTCCATGGGAGCCTTGCCCTCTCTCTTCACATGGTCAGTAAGTGGATTCGTGAAGTCAAGTTCTTTGAGTTGAATAGACGATGACTGGATTGGAGAGCGGGTACCAATATTGCGGATTGATGTATTTCAGTTAAAATACCTAAAGCCTTATTGTTTTTAGGATCTGGATCCGTTATTCATTCAATGGAAACTCTTGTTGGTTTTTTTGAAGTCCAAAAAAAAAAGTGCAAACGTCCATTGTTTGAACTTCATGAATCAAAATTTTCAGTCAACTGTCCAAGGCTCCCTGTTCTGGTTGGTGCTGGATACTCGTTTCCGTTATTCATTTGTTTGGCTTATTGCTCGTTGTCGAGGCCACCTGTAAAATTTTATTGTCTTAAAGATAATTGACATTAGAAATTTTGAGAACATCGAGTACCTCCTCTACATTCAAATGCAGTGAATGAAGAACTAAACAGGTGCACAATATCAGAGGGTTATATGAAGTCTACAATCCCTGGCATTAGAGGTAATAACATTACTAAAGAATGCAACATAGACAACTCCAACGGTTGTCCTAATGCCCCAATGAATGCATCAAGGCACTCGCCAGAAAGCACATACACAACAGTACAAAGTCAGCCTTCTCCATCAGGACTTATTGACTGTAATCTGCATTTACTATATGAAGCCGAAGCCCTAGATTCGGATTAAGGTTTCAGCAATGGAACCAGCTTGTACAGTTGCGTAGCAATCAATAACATTAGCTCAAATAGCCATGACGTAAAGTTAAACCAGGGTTCCATTACCAGCAAGCAGCAAGTTCACTTGTAACATACAAATATTATCACTAAATTCAATGACAGAAATTTCCTGAAGGATGCAAAAGTGCCTATCGATCAAAAACACAATCAAACTAATCAAGTTACAATCCTATAAATCAAGATAAAACCAATGGACAGGCTTTTCTATTGCAAATAAAGCTCATTCTGCACAACTGGAGACAGTAGAGTCAGCAAGCATATCGTAGTCCCTCTCCATGGTTGGACCAAAACTTGAAACTAGTTCGTCCCATTTTCAGGACTGACATCTCCGTATGAAACCAGACCCCTTTGTCCATCTGGGGAGCTGGATCTTGACGTGCTGGAAGACAGAGATGCAGCTTTTCCAGGACGCTTTCTTGGAGTGGCATTAGGAGATCTAGAACGTGATGAACCATGGCTCCTAGATCTTGAAGTCAACCTCTCTCTGTTAGGAGAAGGCTGATCATCACCTCGAGGCCCAAGACGAGATCTTAATTTATCACTCATTACAGGCCGGGTATCTACAGGGCTAGAACTGCGTACAGGACTCCGGCTGCGATCCCTGCCACGACCACGGTAAGCACCTGGGCTACGAGAAATACTCCTACTTTGACTCCTGCGTCTATATCTACACGAGAGGGGAACAATGATAAACAAATCAGTTTGTTGGGGAAAAAATCATCAACAAAGCCAGAAAAACAATGGTACTGGATATCTGATTTCAAAAATTATTATGTGAGATCAGCTTCTGTATTCATACACAAAAATGCCATTTTTTCAAACCAAGAAAAAATTTGTAAAATTTTCAAGACCATTCAGGTTTTACAATCTGTTTCCAAATTTGGCAGTTTAACCATCCGGTCCAATCTTCAAACCAATAACATGACACAACTATATAAATCCCACCATAAGACAGGAAGTTGGTAAACTGTGAATAGAAGAAGGAACTGTTTTCCACTAAAAAAGAGAGAGAGAAGAGAGAGGAATAGGAAAAAAGAAGAGAGTGAGGGAGAGAGGACAATGATGCAGCATACCATTGCAGGGATTTTGAGGAAAAACATTACTGTGTAAAATGTGAAGGAGATGCTGGTATTTAATGGTGAACAGAGAGACCAATTATCATGGGATGAACAATTGTAGAAGTTAATAGGGAAAAAAAATTCAATCCACTTATCACTGCACCTGCTTTCACAAAAACAATTCAGCAAATTAGTACCTTGCTATAAAAAATGGACATTAGGAACATTTATTGGTGCAAGAAAAGAAGTAGACAAAGAAGGAAGGGGTGCATAAGTTAAAATCAGACCTTTTGTTGTTTCCAGATTAGTTATCATTGTCATAGGCTATAGGATACAGAAAAACATAATAGATTCCACAGAGAAAGAAAGAGAGAGAGAGAACCTTGGGGGGCTCCTGCCTCTTGGTGAGCTTCTATAACGTCTTTGTGGTGAGCGCTGAGAGTAAGTTCTATAGCTTGAATACCTAAAACAAATCAGAATTTGTTCAAAGTCCATTGCAGCCCGTCCCATAAATTTCTTTAGAGCTTACCTATCATGGTTCCTTTCATAAAAGTTCCTTCCACCATAACGATATGACCTATGAGGTGAACGCTCTGGTGATGGCGTACGGTATCGCCGTGCGAAGGAAAAGCGTTCGGTGAAGCCACGCCCTTTCCTAATGCGCTTTGGAGTGCCATTTGGAGAACGACTTCTAGACAAACCCTGACCATGATTCAAAGCAGAAGCTTGAGGGGCCTTGAGTGGAGGGCTTTGCTGATCAGACTTTCTTTCTGGAGCACCACCATCATTGTGATTTCTGGGACTCCTCATAATTCTTTTAGGGCTCGGGCTTGGACTGCTCCGACGGTTGGATATCAGTCTTCCTCTGGGGGTTGGTGTCGAGCTTCTGTTCATCACAATGTGAAAGGTATTAGTTTAGCACTATTACAGCAGCATAAATACACTGGCATGCAAGATACAGTCAACATTGCATACAAAGCGACAAAGACAATGTGAGAAAAGTGAATCAAGCTAATAGTGTTAACCTGGATTTGCTCGACTTATCTGAATAATGATGCTGATTGGCTGTTTTATCAGCTTTAGCTTCAATACCATTAACATTTTTCAAAAGTTTGTTATCCTTCTTGGAAAATTCACCCTCTTCATGTGAGGAGTTACCCTCTGTCATCTTTAGCTCACGATCCTTTTGCTGTCCAGTGACAGTCTGTCCTAGAAGAGGGTTTGGAGATTTATCCGCTACATCTGTAAATTAACAGTAAGGGATGAGAAAGTGTAACAACATCAATGCTGGTAATATCTTTCACGTGCAAATAACTGCCAATTAATTAAAATACCACCTAAGTCATGAAAGAAATACAAAAGCCATACAAAAGAAGTGGAAAAGTCGATACCAAGACTCTGACGTAGCTTCTTAGTTTGAACATTTGATGAGTTGCTGATTTTATGGGCAGCTTTACGACTGGCTTTCTCATCATCAGAGCTGCTGCTGCTGTTGCTACTGGCTCCACTCTCTGTGCCACTGGAACTCCCTGAACTCCTGAAAATAATACAAAATATGATAAAAGCCAGAACTTAAGCAAGACCAAAAGGAGGGAAAATAATGTGAAAATGCTGCTAATAACATAACTTAAAACCATACAATTTAGACTTGCGCCTTGATTTTTTATCGCGCTCGCTTCTTGTCCTCCCCTTTCGTCCGCCCCTTCTTTTCTTTCCATGTTGGTGCCTCTCTCTCTTCATTGATCTCCTTTTCTTCCGACGCCTTCCATCACTGGAAGAACTTGAAGAATAGGAATCTGACTCAGAATCCAAATCAGAGTCTGAATAGGAATCAGTGTCCGAAGAATAGGAATCAGAGTCTGTGTCAGAGCTGTACGAATCAGATGAAGAGTATCTCCGTTTTCTCTTCTTCCTTCTGTCCTTGAGAGATATTTTGCGTCTTCCTTTTGTTTTCTCATCGGGATCATCATCAGAGGAAAGACATTTCCCTGATTTTTTCTTTTTCCCTGAATGGGAAGGCATCATAAAGCATAACTACCAAAAAAAGATACATGATCCACCACCAAGCTTCCACAGGATGAGTTTGTAGATCATAACAGAAAGACAAAAATACCTTTCTCTGCTACAGCCGCATCATGAATTTTACTTTCAGATATTTCACCACAATCTACAATTTTTACAATAGCAGAAGGTTTCCCATCAGCAGTTCCCAACTGTTCAATTTTCCTTACAACATCCATTCCTTTCACAACCTGTCCAAAAACAACATGTTTCCTGCCATACAATCAACAAGTACATGATTAATATAATTCACTATCAAAATCCAATTGTCCTCTGAAGACTTAAGAGTCTCAATAGTAGGAAAATTCCAGGTAAGGTCATATGGGGATAGGAGATAGATATTAAGTAAAAATTCAGGCAAACTGAAACCACATACAGCACAGACAAGAGATGAAATACCCGTCAAGATGAGGTTGACGCTTGAAGATTATAAAGAACTGGGACCCATTTGTGTTTGGACCACCATTTGCCATAGAGAGAAGACCAGGCATAGTATGATCCAGTTTAAAGTTCTCATCTGCAAGAGAACAGAAAATATTATGAGTGATCATACAAGAAGCACACCAAACACGCAAAGATGAGCTGAAATATAAACAAAAACCAACCTGCAAACTTCCCCCCATAAATACTTTCTCCACCAGTGCCTGCAAACCATTAAAAGGTTGTGCCTTACAAGTCTGACAGGAAGATGGAAGTTAAATAGAGCATCTGAATTAATGGAAAGAAAAAGATCTGGGAAAAAAACAGCATACCATTTCCTTTAGAAAAATCACCACCCTGCAAGAGAGAAAAATGTGATCAAATGATAAGTCACCAGACCATTATATATTTCAGAGGAGGGGGACCAAACATAAAATCTTTAGCAGTTCAGAGATTAAAAGAGAATCACAATCAGATCTACCTATATATACCGTAACGGTATTTAATTATGAAGGTTAGCTGGGTAGCTGATCTTGTTAGTTTGTTCTTGGCAAGAGGGGAGAGCCTAATCCTTTTGTTTTTAAAATCAGATTTCCTCTGCTTAATGGATAACTATTTGTTATCAATGGAGAAAACAGACTTTTCAAGTACTTAAATATTATTTAATGGATGAAAATGGAAAATTTCTTTCTTCCCTGATGAACACATGTACACATACTCAATAACAGACTTAAGGCATAAAAAAATTAAGAGACGACACCTTAGGATGCAGCACTCTGATGGATTAATATTCTTGGAGATACACACACTTTCCTGCTCTAACACGGATAGAAGATACACATTGCATTATTTAAATACTTTTTCCAAGGATTTGACTTTCCTTTGTGTTTATGGAGGAGCACTATTTAATAACTCTAGAGCATGCTTAATTTCAACATACCAATAACAATGAAAATACTTGAAGTCCAATCAGCAAGCGACCTGTCAATTACCAAATGGCAAAGACATGACACCATCATAAACCTTTCCAACTGCATCCCCAACAACTAATCAGTCATTTGTCCACATTGTTCATCAAGTAATACTTCGCAATACAAATATCAGGATGATGGTATCTTACATGCCAGACTTTATACAAATCCAAAAGAGCACAGTAGGTAGACTGTCTGAATATTAAAACCATAACAATTTTAAAAAACCAAGAGCTCCTAGGAGCTCTGTACAATCAGGCACAACACAAGCAGACACATTTGCTGCACATGCAGAGAGCACCAAAGTTCTCATTTGCACTAATAAGAAATTTCAATAATGCCGAGACGGTGAAGCCAACCAACCTCACATTAATTCGAGTCTCATACATTGCATTGCAGCAAACAAAAAATTGCATGGATGATTCCTGGAAAATTGAGGATAAATACTCATAATATAACCAACATACTTGAACCATGAATCCCTTAATTATGCGATGGAATATAGATCCCTTGTAATGTAGAGGTTTCTCAGTAGTAATTCCAATGCCCTTCTCACCTGCAGAGATTAACACCAGAAAACAATCAGAGTCCATTACAAACTCAGTTCCAACCAAGAAGCGATTATCTCTAAAAGCCCAATAGAACAATAGCAAAGTTTCAATCAAATATTTGACAGAAACTAGAAATAGATATATAAAAGACGGCAAGCAGAAGAACAAAAGGTAATGTTTAATCAGAGACTGCAACAATTTCTTCCCTCACCCGCAAAGAAACAAAACCCTCCAAGTCTACAAAAGAAACTTGCAAGTCCAAATTGGCAGTTGATGTCCTATTGCTAATGTCATGAGTCCAGGTAACACTTACGATCATAAAAGGCAAAATGCTAATCTATTATATGTTTCTTATTTGACAAGAATTCTTTTCGAATTGAATACAGAGGATGTAAATGTTTGATGAGTTTTTTATTGGTTATCTCGGAAGAAACTTATCTAGCAAGTGGAACACAAATTTTCCAAACCTGCTTCTAACAGAATCCATCAGCTTTATAAATTTCAGTACAGAAGTCTTCACATAAAACTAAAAGTGACTTTTCTTCTTATTCTTCTCCTCCAGTATTTATATGACTTCATGACACTACTTATTTATTAGGGTTCAAGAGCCCCATCAACTTTTTTGTAAGATGGCTTTTGGAATTTTATTTTAAAAACACCATAACAACCATCAATGAGGATGCAATTAGTAAAAGATCAAAAATAGAGTTGCATTATAACGCGATTACAAATCCAATAACATTACATCATCCAGTGTGTCACTTTGAATAACAAGTAAACAAATACTTAATAAAACCACGAGTTTCAAACACATGAGTTGCATACTCCTAATCCCCAGCTTGGTTTGGGCAGCAAGAATGCTGATTTGATCAGGAACATTGCAGATCTAGCTTTTAGTCATCCAATTAAACAGAAGTTAAAATGAAAACTTTCATCCTTATAGAGTAAGCAGTGTTGGTTCCAGAAAACATAAAAGTAACAAAGGAATGGTATTTGTAGCCCCATTCAAGTAAGACATAGCAAGATACCAGTACAGAGTGCCCGAAAATTCTCAGCTGTCCTGGGGGCAACATCGGCAAAAAGCTGCATGTGTCAGAAAACAATGCTTCAGTAGCTAAACACAGAAATTGTCCCATAAAACCACCTGATAATGAGCAAAAAGCTCATGCGCAAAAAACAAGACTAAAGAAGTCAAAGTAAAGAAACAAAAAAAATTATAGAGTTGTTGTTACAAGTTACCTCAATAACAATCCTTTCCATAGGATCCCTATCAATTGATATGTCCAAGAATACGACTGGGTTCTTCTTATTCATCTCTCCCCAGATGCTGAAAAATTACCTTAATGTCAGCATATGTTTTCCCAACAACACAAAAGAAGCCTGTTTGTTGAATTTGACCACTATCTTATTCATATAGGTCAGACATGCTTCCGAGAAATAAGAAAACCATTTACCACAAATGTGTCTCTATGTCCTCCTTGTGATAAAATCATAAATCATGTCATTTTTTATTCAGGGAAGAGGGGGCAATAGTGAGGGGCTATGTCAAAAATATACATAATAAACACGGCCCATAAAACCCCAACTGTTCATTCGAGCTATATTACATCCCAAAAAGGTGCCAAGATAATGCATGAAACACCGCCATGATCAAATCTTTGAGCCACCAATGCATAAAGTAGATGCAACCCATAAACCTTAAACCCCAATTGATCATTCAAACCCAATCTAACAGTACAAGTCTTGCTCCAAAACTGCCTAGAAAACGCACGAAACATGTGGAAAGATTGAATCTTTATGCAAACAGTCACAAATCAAAAGACCAATTCATAACACTCTAAACCCTAGTCGTCCATTGGAGCTATATTACAACTCGATAAGCATCTTTTGCTTGAAATTGTGGTTTCTACATGAATTGAAACCTCTGGAAGTCTTAAATTGAAAAAAAATATCACCTGAAGAGTGAAATCCTTAGAAGTTGCAAAAAGATCCACAAGAAAGAGAAAGAAAACGTAAGATGAGATGAATTCCTGTCGTACCTGGAGTAAGTGTATGTCGGCCTGAGTAAACAGGTAGTGAGGACTTGAGCCTCAGCGAGAGAGATCGGTAACGAGCACCGTCAATGTCTAAGATAAAGAGAGAGAAGACCTCGCCGTCTGTACTTCGCACTTTCGCATATGTGAGTGTGTGTGCGTGTGTGCGTGTGTGTGTGTGTGTGTGAGAGAGAGAGCAGTGTAGTGTAATAACTGAGAGTTTCTTTCTTAATTTAATTCCTATTATCTTTCTTTTTGAAATATTGATTCGGAGTACGTGAACCCTGCTGCTGCTTGTAGTTGAGTTTCAATAGACTGGGCCGGCCCTTTCCGGCCCACCAATCAACAGACTTAGTTTGGTTTAATGGACCAATTTTTTCCAAACCTAGGCCCACCAATCAACGGACTTAGGTTGGTCTAATTGACCAATTTTTTCCACAACTTTTGGTCTGTGGTAGGGGCTTGGGCCAACTCTTCTGGACTAGCAAGTGAGTTATAAATGGGAGGCCCACCCAATCTATTACTGATCTACTATGCTAACAGACCATCCGATGGGCTTTGGGTTTTATGTCAAGCTTTATTTGGCAGACCTAATGGAGCTATATATATATTTATTTATTTTTTTTTACTTTTTTAGGGAATTTTAGAGGCCAGTCTTTGGTAAGAAACTTTTTGGACTTTAAATTCACTCAGCAAAGTAATAGGAGTTTAAAGACTCTTTGTGCTAATTTGTCTAAACTATCCCATCTCCCATTTTACCTCACATAACACTGGGTTTTTTATATCCAAAAATCCCCATTAGATATCACGTCATTGATAAATCACGCGTCATTCCGACATGAAAATACAACTCATAATCGATTTACCAGACATTTGAAATTTGAAATACACCTCCCATAAATTCCTAATTTGTTTTGATTTCTTTTTTCACTTACATACCAAGTTGAGTTTCTTCGTCAACATCAATTTTCACCCACAAAATAACCCTACGCCTTTAACAATAAATTTCTCCGCTGACTGAATATGAGGTATGCATAATTTTTACAAAAATATCATCAATTCACATACTCAGAATTTACCATTACATACATTTTTGAAACGCACCAACTAAAATAAATAAACCGAACAACGTATATGAGTAGAGATGGTGTGTATATTCCTAAACCATAGGACTGCATTGAGTGCGAAATTTGTTCAAGGAAAGAAAGAAAGCTGGAGAAAAAATAAGAAAAAGAGTGACTTGTAACTCTAAATTTGTTTTGGACAAATGTACTAAACACGTATGAATTGCAATTTCATTTTGTGATATGGTGATTTGTTCTTGTAAATACACAGTTTTGGCACGAATGTACGAAGTTGATTTTTGTTGAAACAGGTATGTTAAAAATAAATCAGTCATTGACATGTTACACTGAAAAATAATAACATAAAAATAAAAAATAGTAACATTTCAAATCAAAGACAATTATACTGAAAAACAGTAACATGAACATAATTGTGACAAAAAACACTAACATTTAAAACAAAAGACAATAATATTAAATATAATATAATTTAAATAATAATGTGAACACAATTATGACAAAAAAATAGTAACATTTAATTTATTGGTACGTGTTCTTCGGTTGCCTCTCTTCGCTAAAGAATATAAAGTTGAAGAGAATTGTTTTTTTCTTTGTACACGTGTGTGTTGTTTGTGTGTCCAGTTTACTTGTGTTTTGTTTGTTAAGTTGAACTAATCATGCATGAGGATATGTTTGGTTTGATGGGAATTGATAGTTGTTTTGATGGTTGGATTTGGAATAGTGATTTTGAAGGAAATAGAGTTAAATTGTGATGATTGTAAATTGTAAATTTTAGTTCTTTGGTTGAATTTGCGTGTATAGATATGTGACTGTGAACGTTGATGTTACTATATATAAATGTTATTCTTGTTTGAAGTATGTAGTGATTAAAATATGGTGTTGTCTTTAATTTAGGTTAAGTAAGTTTTTCTTGAGATTAGTTATGCAATGATTTGTGTTGGGCAATGATACATACAATAAGATATATAAGCACCGTAGACAAATTGGGATTTCCTTAAACTCCTATCTTTAGTGGAAATTCCGCCAAAATTCTTTGAAAAAATAGCGAAGGCTCGATTGATTGAAGGAAAAATCATTCAAATTGACTGATTTTTTTAAGTGACAAAGTACTTTTAGATACGAATTATTACTACAAATACATATATACAAAAACACACACACATATCTGTATACACATCAAAATAAAAGAAGTGGTACTAAAAATGTTGTTAATTGCTTCATCCTATTGTATCTTTATGTTTATTTATATCTCACTCTGGGCATATATATGTTAAATTGTAGATACTAACTCACTTAAACCATTTTTGGTATTTCTAGTGGTTTGCATGTTGAAGCATGGGCTACATTCACTAGAGTTAAAATGGCAGTTGCGATGGGTTTGCCATAAGTACATGTTTGCAAGGTGACTCGAAGGGTATTATTGAGGCAAACTTACGAAACGAGGACTTGTCGGAGATTGGATATTTTGTGGATCAAATTCATATTATTGCATAGAGTTTCATTCATTATTCTGCAGTATAGGTAAGACATTCTAGTAGTTGAGTTGCGCATAGCCTAACTAAATATGTGAGGTCTTGTTCTGAATGTATTATATGGCAAGATGTGGCACCAGATTTTTTGGTTCCCATCTTGCAAGATGAGATTACTATTTCTAACGAATGAATTTCCGTCGCATGGCAAAAAAAAAACTCACTAAACCATTTTCCACCATTGAGAATGATCTCAGATTCTCAATCACAAGGAAACTAATACATGGAACCAACCAGAATGCTTTTGCAAAATATTAATTCAAAAGTTGAAAATAAGTTATTGAATTGTGTTCAACGTGTATGAGTGTCTGGATCTCTCATATCTTTTGCTGAAGCTTGGTGTTTCAATTGGTGTTTTCCTTAATTTGCCCTCAATAAAACTTAAAAAAGATGTTTTCAGAGATGTTTTTAGACAATTATAAGTAAATGGCCCTTTTTTTTTTTTTTTTTCTTTTTCCCCCTTCTTCTTCTTCTTTTATTTATTCTTTTGGATAGTTGGGAAAATTAAGACCTTGTAACTGAGACCATATGCATCATGATCAGTTATTCCAATATTGATAGAAAGTTCAGTTTTGTTTTTGAAGTTAAAAGAGTTCTGGATCCTGAATGTGATGGATTTAATATTTTCAAGGATTCTCAAGTTTGGTTTTGGTTATGAAACTGAAGGATTTTGAATCCTGAATATGATGGATTCTTTGGTATGGTTTATAGTATGACAATCTCACACATCCAACAGTTGTTCTTTTACCCAAAAGATCACCATCATCTTATTACCATGACTTGTCCATCTGTTGGGTGATCACTTGTTCTCATTTTCCAGTTTTTACTCGTTCTTTGGGTGATTGAGTGAGATTTATGCTCATTGCAGTCACCTTCGAGGTTTTTTGCACCTGGATAATACCAAGACTTTTGTGTCCCCGATCCGGTCATGGAAAAAAGAGAGTCAGGTATGACAAAATTCCTAACTTGTTATGGTTCATTGATTAAGCTCATTCTTTTTATGCTAAAAAAGTTTACTAGCTCAAAGATTGACTATAAAGTCCTTTCGTTATCGTACATCATAATTAGAATCAAGTCACGATAATTTCTCATTTGCTATCATAATGTTGAACTATTTTTATGTACTAAACATATTCAAATAAAACTTCATTCTTTGAGGTCTATTCTTTTTATGATTATTCTCTCCTTAAGGCGGTGTTTGATTTTTGTACTTCTTAGGTTGTTGAAAATCAAGCATTTATTTCGGTTAGTCGGTTGTTTACTCTTTTTTTTAACAACCTCTTTGAATTCCGCAACTCTTTCGATCAGCTTCGAAAACTTGGACATTCCAACCGGGACCAATGCACATTGCATATTATATTGCAATCCTCTAGCATGAATTTCTTAGTCGATGATTTAACCCAACTTTGAAGAGATCATCATAAGATTTTAGGTGTACTTGTGGGAAAGATTATCCTTAATATGATATGCGCAATTAAAAAACAATACCAAATTAAATGATAAATAAAAGAAACTAACAATTGCCGTAATAAACTTAAAGACAGAAAAAATCACTCACTGAATACCTATTTATTCGACTGAGTTAGTACTAAAGTTTTGTTTTTTTGATCAAAGAGTTAGTACTAAATTTGAAAACGAAAGCTGAGGCAAGGATAGCTGGAGTGTCGATTGCATTTGGACTGGCTAGCATATATAGATTTGTGTCCAACTATTTCGGCTCAGCTTTAGTCCAAAATCAAAGCATTCGATTACAAGAGTTCCACGTGTGTTGTCTGAGTGTCACTAATTAGCCTCTTCAATGACTTGAACTGGACACAAAAACGTTGTTGTTGAACTTTGATCTGTCTAAATCCAAGGCTTTGTTACTGCTAAAGTAGTCTCCTTTGCAATAAAAGCAGTTGGAAAATAGTAGTTGAGAGTTTTCCATGAGATATCCAGTTGTTCCGTTGATGTGTGTTTCAAAAAATCTCCTTAAAGTTGTGTGGCCGTTTGCTTTTAGCGTTTATTTAGTCTCCATTTGGTCACACTTTTTTAAAGCACTTTTTTTTTAAAAAAGAAAGAAAGTAAATTTGACAAATTGTACCAAAAGCAAAAGCAAAAGCAAAAAGCAAAAACATTTTTTATAAAATCTTTGCGAAAGTAATTTGAATGCATACACACTCTAAGATCACTCTAATTCTTATTCAAACTCATACTCAAATTTAAATTTGAGTAAAAATAGCTCAAAAATCATCTCTAACTCTTTACTCAAATCATACAAATTGAAAGAGACTTAACTTCCTTACCCAAATTCTAAAGATAATAGTTTATCAAATTCTCAATCATCTGTCTTCTTTTCTTCATAACTTCCAGCATCATCGGCCACTACATATCATCTGTGTTTTTTCTTTCCTCGAAGCCCCCATAGCACCCATAATAAAACCCTAACCTGAACCATCTCCCCATCAATCACGGCGTTTGATCTACACGGAGAATGCTTGAATACCCAAAAACTGAGGCGAACTTGAAAAAAATGATGGGGAGGAGTTTTAAATTCTCACTTGGGTCTTTGTTTTTATAGTTCAAATTGTGAAAGATTTGGTC